ACTATTTTCAAGTAATTATTTCGTTACTTTTTAGTGTACTGTTTTTTTGAGAATATTTTGTTTTGTTTTTAGTGCATTTTGTTTTTATATACAACACTTTATAGAAACGACAGACTTTGTACACTTTGAGCTATTTCTGTGCAATTAACATTATTATAGGCGGAACCGCCGCCTTTTCATTATAGGTGCTTATAACAAGGAAATTTTTTATTGCTATGATATTATTTGCAAGCATTTAACTATGTTTTAGAAGAATTTAATTGTTAGATGTTATGTAAAACATAAAAAAAGTTATAAATATGCCCTATTTCCTTTTTTTTGTAATGCGTATGAATATCAGCCATATTTTTTATTATAAAGCTTGCGTAAAAAGCGGGCTCAGTACAAAATGGCAAGTAATTACACACAACGCTCAGAGGGGAAAACAAAACTCGTGTGACAATGCACATAAGGGGTGGGCAGGGAACAAAAGTTTTTTGTTTTACTTTAATATTTCACTCCTGTCGGCGGTAAGAGATTCTGTATGATTAAAATGCGCAACTGCCATGGTTTTCTTTGTGACTGCGTTTTCTTGGTTATGAAAATTGTTCATTTATTTCATGGCTTTTTACTTACACATATTTTTTATTACCATCTATACTATTATAATAAAGCGTAAACACACACATTTTGTTGCCTAATATGTCAGCAATTACAGCATATTTTTGAATAATCCTTCTTTTGAGAAAAAGCCCTACACTTACGTCACACTTAGGCTATATATTTTAACACAATTAAACTTAGGGGGTAAATATTCTGGATAAAAACCCTAATGGAAGGAAGGTTGCCATGGTTTGTCATTTGCAATTAAAAAATTTGACACATGTAAACAATATAATGATTTTTTCATAGTTTTATGCGGATGAAGTTGCACGGGAACAGAACAACTAAAAAACTCCCAGATTTAAAACTCTAAACCAATTTTCTTTGCAATTAAATTATACCTGTGCAGTTGTCGTTTGTAAATGTAGAAATGGAACGGTCTTAAAACTGTTATAAATTAAAAGGTCCATAATCAAATCGCGGCGAGAAATCTTAACTCAGGGCAATTCATTTTCTTTAGTGACGTTGAATCATATACCAATTTGTATCAAAGCAAGTGTAATCGCGCTGTAAGCAATTAGCTTTCCGATCAGTAAATTCATTTGCTGACTAATGGAGCACTAAGTGCAGGAATAAATCTATTTGTTAATCAGTAGCGGTAATATCTTGCGCGTCAGGAGTTCGCTGCAAAGACTCGGCGCTAATCTTTGAGCAGGTAATGGCGTGGAATGGGAGCAAACGCTGCGGCTTCGGGGAAACGAGCGGACGTTTAGGTCCCTCGTACACTTAACTATTGTGAGGAAATGTTTTACTTAGAAGCATCTAAAAGTGTATGACCTTTATAAGTGTGGATTTATACTTAAATACAGTTCGTTTAAATTCAAATAAAAACTAAATTCCGTACTTTATTATACATATTTGAATGTAGGCATAAAAACTGTTTGAATAAAGCGATATATGTAAATAAACTTATGATTATGCATCTTTAAATAGCATATTTTGTATATTCTATTGAATTATTGTAATAGAAATTAATTTCTTAATGTGTAAGTGTGCGTTTACCTTTAAAAGGTGGGTTGACAGGACCTAATTAACGATTGGGTCGGGAAACGAAGCGAAATTGATTCAACTGGAGTCATTTCATACGCCAACTCAATTGTGTCCACCCTTTAACCTCTCCGCACCACGCCTCAGCTTTCATATTCACTAACACTGAAGCTATCAAAGGAAATATAGGAAGCTAAGCTCTTTTTTATATTAATTTAATAGATCAACAATTATCAGAGATTTTAATAATTCGTGTTTCGATTATTTATTGGACAATATAAAATAAGACAGAAAGAAATGAACAGATATATCATATATCTGTTCAATCACAAATATACGAGTATATAACTTATAATAACCTAAAATGGGTTAGGAATTAGACAGTATATGACGTCATTCTTCCGAATTCACGTTATAAACTTTCAACTGTAACATTTCAACAACTTATCGATGTAATAGACGAATATTATTTAAATTTATATTGAAATACGATCAATAAAAATTTATACAACTTTAATCGCTTCCATACGGTATTCCCTCGACAGTATGCGCATGACAGCATTGATTAAACGTAAAAATTGATTGTACAGTATAAAAAAATCATCGGAATTTTTCATGTTATGTAAATAAAAACACACCTCGTCGGGCGCACTGATTAATTGGAAAAGCTAACGGTACGTGCATCTGCATTAAGTGTATAACAGCCAACAACTGCTAGGCCAACTATGAAATAATAATTCCCGCTATCAAAGTATTGTTAAATAAGATTTCTATAAAGTAGCGTAACACGATAGCCATAACATAAAGTATCACATAGGAATATACGCCGCAAATGGCATATAAATAGATAGGTATTCGCACTTAGAAACAAAGCTAGTTCATGTTGTGGCTTTGACTTGGCAAGCTCATTTTGTTATTTAATTAGACTCAATTTGTTTAATTCAACATATATCAATATGTACTTGGTACAATTTGTTTTATTATCCAAATCCCACTGACATTTCAGGTATAGCCCTATAAAAATGTTTGTTATTCCAACATCAGCCCCATAAAGCCATGGCAGCTTAATTATGAAATTAGTAATTATTGCCGGCCGTATGTTTACTCTACGCGTATTGCTGATTATTGATTCAATTAATTTACATTCATTTGTCATCATTTTCGGAGCTCGTGAATAATTTCGTTTAAATGTCTGGACATCGTATTTGTACAGGTATTTGTAAATTGATTAATGATTACGCTAATGCACTTCAAAACAATACGCATTATGTGTTGTTATTAACACATAGGAAAACTATTACATCTTACTATTATTATAAATGCGAAAGTTTAGATGGATGTTTGTTAGCGTTTGTAGCCTAAATGGCTGAACGAATCTCCATTAAATTTGGCACAAGTTTAGATCATAGTCTGGAAGAATACATAGGCTACTTTTTATCCCGGGAATAGTTACGGTTCCCGTGGGATTCATTAATTTAGTATTTTAATGTTTACTCGATAATTCTGCAACGGTTCAACATATCTTATTGAAATTTGGCACAGATATAAAACTAAGTCTAGAGTACACATGGGATAAGCTTCATCCCCGAGAAATGTCCTGTTCCCGAGGTATACGTAGCTTTTTGTAATTTATATAGTTCGTATGTTTTCTAATAACACGCGGACGAAGACGCGGGCATCAGCTCGTTATAATATAAAAGATGTGCAGCGTTTTCAATTGTTTTTAAAGGAGGTCAGCATTCTATGTAAGTAACTGGTTGGATAGCGTCTGTTAGAGCAACGTAAAAGGCAATCTCATCGAAATGTCGCCGGACACGAGACCTCTATTTTTCTTCGCTCGCTTCAAGCCGGAAAATTGAGTTAGCCGACCGCTTAATGCCGCGGACAAACAGGTTCGCTCTCACGTACTTCGCTTGACTTTTCTTCGTTCCGCCACCGACATTGTCTTTTCACTTTACACAATCGATGTGAATTGAATTCTTTTATTTACTACGTATGTATGTGTAACTGGTCTATAAACTATTGTAGCATTTTGCTTCCGAACGCTTCTTTTCAGAACGTTTTATTACAATGGTGTTATTTTTTATATAATAATGGGAAGTCGAAGGAAATTAACAATTTTCGAGTACTGGGTCCATTTTAAAAAGGTTTATAAAAATATCTTTTAAATGAAACAGCAGTTTTAAATACATTTTTTATTTAAAAAAAATCATTACGGTTTAGACTAGCCGGACCATAGAGCGGGCCGAAGTTGGATCCGACGCTACCACATTTAGAATCCTTCCAAGCCCAAAGGTTGACAGATGCGATACTCTCACAGCTGCACAGCGGGTTTCTGTTAAATAAGAATAACATGTAATGCAAGATTTAAACACAATAAAAATTTTAAATAAAACTATATCACATTACCACGGGGAATAAGGAGCATGTATTGAATTTGATTTTGTCATAATTAAAACAGCATCGAAAACTGTGGACAAGTTAAGCTCGTGACTTGTAATCTACACGTTCTTGTTTCGAATCCCGGTATACACAATTTCATGTGTAAATAATTTATTCAACATTCTTGCGGTAAAGAAAAACATGTCGCAACCTACACATTTCGACGAAGAAATTCAGATATGTGTGTAGTGAAACAACCCGCAATGGGCTAGTCTCATTAACTTAACGTAGGCTCCAAGCTAAGTGAGGACGTATAATGAGCAGTTGATGTAGTATCGTAAATATAATGATACCTACTTGGTAGTAATCCTGTAAAAAGCATGTCGTTGTATCTGTGTCACCTTGTCTCCTACGTCGCACAGCAGCCGAGCCGCCGATGCCTTCCTTATCTCCATCAGTTGTTCTGAATATAAAAATACACATAAATTCCTATACTAGACATTTTTTTGATAACTGAAAAAGATAGATCATAGATCTTTAAATAAAATAACATTCCTCGATGTAATAGTAATTTAGAAGGTTGAAGTTTTACGAAAATGTTTTTCTATCTCTTTTGAGGCGAATTATTTCTTTGAACTCACCATAAGTGAAAGCATTCGGTCGATTAGGTCTCTCGTACCAATGCCGGTCTGATGTGATAACCCTCAGTAGCTGCTCCACCACAACGCAGTATAAAGTAGGCGGCACGTGCCCACCAGGGATCAGCTTCTCCAGCCAAATGCCAGCTATAAGATCAATGTCCTCTACATTCTCATACACCTGTCTAAGAAGCTCCGCTCTCTGTAAAATAAAATTTCTCGTCATTCTAAGAGCGGGCCACAACTTTCACTAAATTATACAACAGTTGTGCGATTGTCGATTGTTTTTTAGCCAATTCAACTGATTAGTTTGACTTTGGACAAATGTGTGCGCGCGTTCTTAATCTACTGAACGTCATGTTTTATGTTAGTTGTTTTGTTAGTCTTTTGTCATTACATTCTCATACTATTGACTAAAAAATTAGTATTCAGTACATACTTCTGGTTCAATAGCTTGAAGTAGATCATCGAATGTCTTGAATGATTGTTTGAAGCAGAATTCTCTGTATTTGATGTAAGGTGGAAAACCGAAGAGACGATTCTTTGCTAAATCATTAGTCAGAAGATCAGAAGCTCTTTGATGCGGTCCTAAACCTATATTTACTACCTGAAATCAAATTATATTCGTCTTAAAGGATTTTTATCGTTTTGTGTAAGTAGCGAGTTTGGTGTACCAGGAAATCTTTGTTCTCTGTCTACTCCTCTGCGTGTTCGTTCTACAGTTTAAGTAATATTTGACTTACATCAGGATCTACAATGTAGTCAGCTTTCGCAGTGCCCTGTCTAAAGTTGCCTTGTGTGACGTAATCAATGTTATCATCCACACCAAAGAAACCAGTTCGCAGAGTGAGATTTACAATGGGAACTTTTCTTAAATAATGGCCTTGAGTATCAAATAATCTGCGAAACAGAAAAAATGTAAGCATATAAGATACAAAATTAGTTTAAAAACCAATTAATATTCAATTGAATTTTGAAAGAAATGTTTTGATACTTACTTCATATCCCCCTCCTGAGTAGTGTGGAACCAACGAAGAACAAACGGAAACTCAAGTGATATTTGAGGGATAAGATTCTCATTGTAAGAATCTCTGAATCCATTCGTATAAGACAAAACTCCATCCTTTAGTAAATTTTCATGGCCTAAACAAAAGAAAATTTGCAGCTAATTAAAACAAACTGATACTTCTAGGACTGTAAACATCTAGACTTAACAAATAAATGTTACTTAAAAGACCACTACTTACCAAATAACGCTGGCAGCAACTCATAATAGAAAATTTGCATCACAGTAGCAATATTGATGTCTCGTGCTGTATAGAAGAGTCTATCATCATTCCAGCACGGGTTAATCTTAGATAATGCAGATGCAATAAAGTTGTGTTGCCTCCACAGCCAAATGGTTACCAGGTTGATACCGGCTAAGCTATTAGCGCCATCTTCCGCTAAAAATTGAAATTTTAAATATGTAATTTTCAAGTATATTGTAATGATCATAATTGTATGCGAGTCATGTAATTAAACGGGCTCCAAACAAATAAATAAACACATGAATACGGTCTGCATGATATTTTTAATGAATTATTAAAGAGCAGATCAAATTGCATAATAAATGCCTCTCTGCTTATTGGAATTGCACATATTTTAAATACAATATTGAAAATGGATTACTATTACATTATTATTTTGAATAAATATTTTACTATAGAGTTTAATAAAACATTTTTATATACACAGCTCTTACGTGTGTCGTGACATCTGCCTTCTTGAGGTCTTTGGTTCAAGAAACAAACGCCAGACCCAGTCTTAATACTCGGAGGCCAGATTCTGCCTTCTTCAACTTCATATTTTAATAAACCACCTTTGAAAAGACGACCCTTCTCAGACAGTAGCTTTAAACTACTGCTATATACAGGTGAAAGATCAAACGTTGGTGTCGCTGTTATTATCTAAAACAGTTAATAATTACAACACTCACATAACTTTCTTTAATAATAGCAGGTAAATAATCAATGGGAAGTGGTAGAAACTAATCATATAAAATAGAAAAAACATATACATCAAGTGTACATGATCCAAGTTAAATAGTTTTAAATCAAATTAAGATCACGAATACACTGTTGACTAAATTATCGCACAACTATTTAGTCGCGCTTTAATTCCTATGAGCTTATATGGAAGTACGCACACTACTAGACTTTTAATTGTGTAACTAAACAGTTGAATTGGCTGTAAAGTAATCGACAGTCGCTCAACAGAAGTGCGATAGTTTACTCAATTGTGTGCGCCCGCTCTAAGCAGTCGCTTCGGCTGTTTCACTAAAACCTTCCTTATGGTTAAATTCCAGCATCTTACGGGAACGAAAGGTACCGTAACTCACCCTTTCAGGAACTGTGCCGTTTTTAATACAACCGATAGATTGAAAAGATTCAGGCCTCGTCATATTTAAGCATCTTATGTCTGAGAAGCGATGGACAGGATCGTCATCGGGTACCTTGTTAGGAACGCAATCATTATCAGTCCTGCCTTTAGGCAGACAACAGTAAGGTTTCCATGCGATAAATTTCACTAAAAAAATTTAATGTAAGAAATAATACATAAGAGTTGAAACATTGGTATAAAAATGTATAGTGATTTACATATTAAATCGTATTCATATTAAAGTACCTGTATCGTGCAAAGATAAAACATCTGCAGTCATGAATACAAGAAAATTGGTCGAAAGTGTCGTGAACTTCTGATCAGGCAGTTTGCCCATAGCTACCAACGTCGTTCTTAGGAACCTTTCCAATGGCAAAGACTGGCCGGACTTTGATTGTCTTTTCTCGAAATCTGCAATGAAAATAATGTTTGGAAAATTAATGTCATAGATACTTACATTTGCTGGTATTAAATATATTTAAGACCCTAACACATTATCTCAAGGTTTAATTTACAACGAACATGGTAGTTAGAAGTGAGCGGCCAGGAGCCGTGAACATGCTTAAATTGTTTCCGCTATGATTGAACACGGTAATTGAGATAAAGTAGAACATTTTTACACCTCAAAATTACTCCTAATTATATTGAAAATATCTATGTAAGGTCAAAATTATCGTGTGTTTATGCCAAAACACTTTTACAAAAGCATAATTAAGTCCTCCTTTTCGTTCTTTATGAAAAACCTGAATCAAAAAATGTCCATTTGGTAACCCTATAGCGAAATAACTTACTTTTTCCATATACAGGCGGCAGTAGTCTATATGTAGGTGTGTGCGAGGCTCCTCTAGCAGGCTGACGTAGGTTGTTACAGGAACCATCCACACGCCGCCATTCCTCAGCCACGCATGGCTCGATTTGGTTTATGCACCAACTGAATAATTTTAACAAATTAAATACTCTATTTCTATAAAATTTACTAACAAATTATTCACATTCTAGTTCTTGTAATATAATAAGAAAAATTCTAGCAATTAAGACTTATGCCTTTTGGTTTGAAGATCTATTGTACCACATAATTAATTTAAAAGTAAATGCAGAGGCAATTACATGGAAATATAAGACTAAAACTTACAACGTGTTATTCTGCTTGTCATGTTTTTTCACTTCTTCCACATTAACAGGCGTACCCGAGTACGAATCATAGTACACACAAAGTCCGTGATTAACATAACCACTAATTATAAGTACGAGAATCAAACAATTAAACATTCTAATTAGAGGTTTCTGGAAAATACTCGAGTTGCTTTTAAGCCTAACCTGCCAGTGTTTGTTGTTAACTATATGAATATTAAATTACAAATGCTACGGCCTCAGCGCATAAAACGTATATAACCGAAGGCTTTTTACGGTTAGTTGTTCTTTGAAAAAAATACGGACGAGTTACTAGAAAGATCCAGTCAATATACGGGCTGCTTAAACAGCCTCTTTAGGAACTTAATACCTGATAAAACCAACATAAATACCACGACCAACAGATGAAGGCAGAAGTAATAGATTTCCATTTTTTCCCAAGACACCTCTCCACGTTCATCTACGCAAACTTATCAAACACCGATGCTCTGAGAATTGCCCTTACTTCTATTTTTGTTATGATTAATTTCCAATGTGTGCTTTGTTTTTCTTAGCTTTTAGATCTGATCTGATCTGTTACTAGATCTGATCAGCATTTGTGCATTTACCAGATATGCACATAACCTCACATTAGCGTTACGTGAAGTCGACAGTGCAATGCCTCGAGTCACAGTTCATTAAATACCAGCTTTAGATCTTCGCTCTGATGACGTTTGCTAACGATCTGAGAAATCATTTAAAACAAATGAAAGCTCTTGTGTTTTTCGAAACGTTTGTTTGTTTATGTAAATTATATATTTTTCCTACACTTTGTTACGGACTTCAAAGGAATCTCCTTTATGTTAACATTCCCTTAATTTACTGGTAAATTGTCCACCGTTACGGTTGTTTCTACGCTCGTATTTGAATTCTTAGAAATACCGAAACGTGCATTTCCTGTTTTATTATTTTTGGATTACATTATTTTTAAAACAAATGATAGCGATTTACACAGAAATAATACGAAAGTGAATTTTGATAAATCTATGTGTAAAAATAATGGTACATGGTTTCTAATTCTGTGTGTATAGTCTAATTTTAACTGCATAGTTTAACTAACAGTTAAATTGCCTACATAAACACAGTTGTAACGGAACAGAACTGTTAAATTTTCGAATAAGACTGAGGACCTGTAGTGGACTTTAAAACCTACATTGTAAACACTACCGATAGAAATTTTAAAATAAATTTATCCTGCTTTACGAAAGAATTTTTATGAAATTGCTTTGATATCAATTTTGATAAATGGTTAGCCAATACGATGACTCGCCAGTCGCCGGTCGCCGCGGCCGCTATCATTTTTCATGGCTTATTACATTTATCGAACAACTTATCTAGGGAAGCTTCGCGTTAATATCATTCTTTAAGTGCCTAACTTCTTTGTGTAAAATGCCATTAGAAAATTGGTATCTGTCGAAGTTATTTTGATCAGAATATATGCTGGCCGTTAACAGTTCGCCAGTTTTTGACAAACAATGTTGAAGTTTGCGAATTTATTGATCTCGATTAGGATAATATCTTTATTGCCAGTCTTACAAATGTAATCTTTTAACAAAATCTATTATAAAAATGATTGAAAAAACAACGATAGTTCTTTTTCATAATTATATTTTACAAAATAAAAATAATACATACAAACTGCAAGCCTAAAATTTATGTAGTACCAACGTCTAGTAAAATAAATAAAATGATGCTTATACAAGTGAAGAGGTCGTAAGTTAGTCAATATCCCTCATACCCTAATAACCATGAGGAGAGATTTTCCATCCGACTTAGCAATATTGTAGTTTGTCCAAACACTTGTGATGCAATAACTCGCACGTGTCGCGCCGTATCTCAATTTGATCGCCACTTATTGCCCTACCAACATCAATTTATACAATCGAAACAAGTCCTTATCAAAACGCAAAAAGGTGTCATTTCCCCTGCAAGCGGTTTAGTAGAATTTGATTTTTTCGTAAGTATCTTATTCGGTAGATGAATTAATATCGCATGAAAGTGACAAGTTGTTGGTTATAGGCACTGGTTCTCAATGAATAGTTGGATTCACGCTAACTCGCGAACTTTGATATCGTTTCTAACATTGACCATTATCACACAATCAAACATAATTTGAAACAATTTGCAGTACGTGATGGCCGTAAGTAAGTAATCATTTAATTAATTACCAGTGGAATTTATTTGAAGACATACTAAACACTGAATTGAAGTAGAACTCGATTGCGGCTTCAGCCTCAGTTCTACAACACAAATACAAGGTAACAGTTAAATTAAAAGGAAGCAGTTTTTTATGGAACAGAGTTAATTTTTATCTAATTTAATCTTTAGTATAAATCCACAGGCAGTACAAGGTCAATAACAAGCACACTTGCGTTTCAATGTAAAATAATGTGGCGTTTTATGCCCACACTCGTGTTCGGATCAGTCAACCGTAGCGACTCTCGGTTGAATTTATAAAACAAAGAACATGTACAATACGTATAATACAAATAAAGCTGCCGAAATATTGTTAAAGGTCATTGACGCAATAAATAGGCCTATTAAAGTTAATCAAGGAAACTTTACTATTTTTTTAAATCCATTTTAATACAAATATTTTATCACATTTTTCTAATGAGTATTAATTATGCTTCATATTCCATTCTTGGAAAAAAATAAGATTTTACTTATTAAAATCTATCTTCAAACATCAACATATATCATAGTCCAATTATTCAACACACGGCAATCAAAATTAATTACATGCATAGCAAATTGTCTCATTAGGCAATTTACATTGCACGGTACACAATAGTTTGTAATGATCAATTATTGTAATAACTAGTTTAGTAATTGCTCTGATCTATGGATAATTGCTATCAAACGTAGCAACGTCATCATTTCTATTAAAAATTTACGAAACGGAGCTTCTAATAATTTCCAACGTTTTTTGTTGCACCAATAAGTCTAAATTATTGTGAATTTAAGTAATTAAGACTAGGTACTCTCTACTACTCTACTCTCTCTCTCTCTCTCTCTCTCTCTCTCTCTCTAGATTACCAGTCAGGGCCAATTTTTAATAATCTAAAATCATTATCAACAACCAATTCAAGTCTCATGTTGAATCATCATGAGTTAAGTTGCCTTTGATTATTTTTTATAAAGATAACATAGAAATTATTGAAAGAAAATATTTGAGAAACAAGTCACCGAAATGACAAAATAAAACTTTCAAGATTTTATTTCTCTGTCTATATGCATAGGAAAAACTTTGTTACTAAATTGTGGCTAACAAAATCAAAATTTGAATCAAAACCCAGATTGGTTTGATTTTTTTTTTGTATGAAACATAAGGTGGCAAACGAGCAAGGTGCCACCAGATTCCACCGAAATGGAAAGCGACCGCTACCCATAAACATCCGCAATTGCAGATGCGTTGCCTACCATTGATGGAGGAGAAGACGCACATAAAGAGGAAATTTTCCCTTCCCATGCCTCTCCTCTACCGTCAAAGTCACTTTTCCTTCCCATCCTTTCCTCTTAAGAAAAGGGTGGAAAGGGAAAAGGACTAAAATAAGGTCTCCGGCACCACACTCGTCAGACGAAAATCGGATTTGCTTCCACTTCACGCCTGTTTTCTGTATGGTCGTGGTATTACACCGGGCAAGCCGGCCCATTCGTGCGAAGATGTTAAAGCGGGCTTTACCACTGATTCTAAGGAGAAATACAATTTCAATTAATTTGTAGATGTATCAATTAACTGTTTGCGGTTTCTTGTGACAAAATCAGGCTTTGAACTTTATGTATTGATTAGATTGTTGCTGAGCTACAAAATAATGACTATTGTATGAAGTAGTACAATTACTATAACTGACTTCTCAGAAATAAATATTGCTGATAAATCGCATTTCCTGGATGAAATTCTTTTTTTCAATCTTCTATTTTAATTCTATCCCGTCTTCTGTAACATGATCATAATTCTTCTGTTGCCTGCATGACTGTGTTGAAATAACCATAATATCAGAGAGTAAACACGGGCGACCGCAGTAGATTGAAATGTTTGTCGCATCATTTGGACGAAATGTAGTGTAAGGTGAAACGGACCGTGCTCGCTTTGGGTCCGGTCCGGCAAAGTCCCTATATCCGAACATGTTACAGATCATAAGAACGATCTGTAAAATACGAAAATAGAGTGATTTTCCAAAGTCAATATCTATTCACTTAGAATTGAGCACTTTTAATTAATTTTAAATCTATAAACGATTGAAATTGTCAACAACAATAATTTATAATTTCGTCTTAGTTCGAATTATTTCATTGCTTATCGATCTCCATCTTTTTTTCTCAATGTTTTGAGATGCATTTTTTATCGTCTCTATTATTTTAGTATTTGCCTTATTTATTTTTAAACATATCTACATTTCACAAAATACTTTTTTTGCTAGATCAAGAAAATCATAAAAACAATTGTTATTATTAGTTATTTATTAAACCGATTCATAATAATAGCTATTATTATAGCTATCAGATCCATGTAATTAACACAATATGTTCTTAAAATCGATTAATGACATTGAAATATCGATGCATCGGGATCGTCTATTACACCGCAGTTACAGTGCGTTATAACTGTAGCACATAATTGGCATTCATCTGCATAACTTGACTATACAGCTGTCATTAACCAGTGCATAGCGGCAAGCGCCTCTAGACAAGTTATTGCCTATTCATAAGCCTCAAAACATCAGCACAATACCAACCAACAATACACAAATGAACCTTATTCCGATAGAGTTAAGATTGATTTTGATAAGATCTACAATTCAGTACACGCAATTAACAAGTTGTGTGAAAACAACAGATACTAAGATGATTTGCGATCGATTGCAAAAAAATCAAAGCAAAGTCACTTTTATTGCTATCAAATAAGGTCGTGTATTGTTTTTTCAATGTGTTTATCAAAACGTCAAAGATTATCCGTTTAATGCAACCCGAGTGCGAAGACTTGGGTCCGCTTGTCATTATAAACTATTTGCGCTGGTGTTCACTTGGAAGAATTCCTCATGAATACCTGAATAATTACTTTTACTTGCGTTCAAATTTCCATATAGTCTTTAATTACCTGTCAATCTGTCAATCGTATGTTTGCATCTTTTCACAACTTACAAGGTAATTTATTTTTACAGCCACTCTTTATATATTTCTTGTAAGGACCATATATTTCATTTATATTCTAAGGATTTTTTTATTACTAGCGTTGTCTTTCATTTGGTTTTGTTTAAATAAATTAGTTTATCTATCTACGTTCTCTACTCTGTGGTAATAGGGTTTCAAATAGAATTTGCATATTTCTAAATTGTATGCGGACATCGCGGAAGTGTTTTGTTTATATTATTAACAGCGCTTTATCATTGCTGTGACACCGACCGGCTTTTCTATTGCTATTCAAATTACTGTAATATTAAATTTAAAACAAAACTTTTGATAGAATACTATGCTTTCTATGTCTCTATATAACCTTCTCGGATTTTGCATTAAAGTGTTCTTGTAAACCCAATAACACGAATTTCTTTAGTAGCGTAATTGCTTCATAAATCTTGATACAAACCAAAAAGAGAATGAAGACGTGGTCTATTTTTATCAGATTGCATTCCGACTGCCGCCAGCGCACTTTATGTGTGATTACATAGCCCTTGTACGAGATGATATTAAGATATGAATATAAAGTATTCTGTCGCTTCTGTATATTGATGTATTTGTGTAGTTGTGAAAAAATAAGGATCGCGGAATGCGTTACCATACTTGATAAATGAACTGCCCTCTTTTTTTTATTACTCAAAAAATAGCTACAGATTTCTCATACTAAAAGCACGCGCACACCTTTGACTAAACTATCTCAAACCTATTTTGCGATTGTCGATTGTTTCGAAGGCTATTCAACTGTTTAGTTGCACAACTAAAAATCGAGTAGTGTGACCTCCATATATGCTCAAAGCGCGACTAAACAGTTGTGCGATAGTTTATTTTTTTTTTCATTTATTTGGGTAAAAGAACAATAACACAAGAAAAAAAATATACAGTACAATACAAAAGTGTTGAGTAGATGTGCCATCCACAACTTTACCACATAGTAACTATAATAATAAAATAAATCTATGAACAGGCTAAACATTCGAGTGGTACTTAATGTGTATTAATATTATTGATAATTCAAAGTTTTAATAATCTCTATTTTAAGGTTATTTTTAGTTACATGTATGATATCTATATCATTAAAATTGGTATTATAAGAATTAACAATTCGATTAAGTGGTGATCGCAAGCCCGCATTAGTTCGAGACCAGTTTGTTGAAAAAAGTTTTGAAACATTTCTGGGATGAGCCCTTGTGGGGACTCTGTACGATATTCTTCTGGTTAAACAGATGCAGTCGTACCTATTATGGCACAGATCGTGGAGTAGCACCGCTTCATGTTGAAGTCGTCTAGATTTGAGACTTAGTAATTTAAATTTAGCTAGGAGGCCTTGATACGATAAGTATGTATGAAAACATCTATAGTTTAGGCAACGAAGATATCTTTCTTGTACAGCTTCTATTGATTTTATATATTTATTATAGAGGGGATTCCAAATAGGCACAGCATATTCGAGTTGCGAACGAACTAGGGTTTTATACAAATAGAGGTAAGTGGTTGGATTTTTAAATTCTGCACTGGAACGAACGGAAAAAATTTAAGGAGTGCAGCGCTGTTAATCTACCGTAAGGCTTATTTAATGACAATTTTGAGTAATTAAGAATAGTTTGAAGGGTACTTACCGCTGTTTTCGTCTATTTTGGCCTTTACTACCAAAATATACTAAAGCTTTAACCAACAGATCTGTAGCGAAATCCGCGCAAATACACAGTTATTAAAGGCCAAGTCTGCAGACTTTGATTGCTGAAGGGATAAAACCGAATATTAAACTTGGCCAAAAGACGAATATTGCGCAATGACGCCAGGATTATCTGGATGTCAATGCAGGGGTTTTTCCCGTCGACACCATAAAAGCGGAGGCACAGAGGACACGCAAATATGAATATTATTGAATGGAAAAACGCAAGTATTTTCCAATTGCGACGCGTTAAAACCCTTTGATTATATCCATTGACATTCTACTGATACTGACAGCAAATAAATGCTTATCATTAAGTACTGCCTTTAAAAGAGCATTTAAACTATCAAACAATATAAAATTTACTTTATTAAAATCGGAAATTTTAAATAAGTACGTGTTTTCACAAATTCTTTGATAATACGCGCGAATTAATTTCAACCATTTAAACTTTCTACAATAGGCTCCGGCTACATTATATAGAGATGTTCGCGAGATTAATTTCTAAGCAGAGTTTTAATGAATTCTGTTCCAATTTCACACGCCAGGAGATCCAGCTCGCGTTAACTTTACAATGAATTTACGATCCAATTACAACTCTCTATGGGCATATCTCATTAAATAAACTTTTTAAAAAATACAAGTCAGAAACCTTATTTTATTTCTTCAGTAAACGAGTTAAAAGTGTACATACCTTTGACTAAATTATCGCACAACCGTCGTGCGATTGTCGATTGTTTCGTAGCCAATTGAATTGTTTATTTACAGAACTTGAAATCGAGTCAAATCAAAGCGGGGGTAAACAGTTGTACAATAGTTTTGTCAAAGGTGTACGTATGCGTAATAATGTATTAGAATCATGGTTTTTAGGTAAATGATACACGATACATTATAACTTATTTTTTAATTAATAAAGGTTTACATTTTTTGCGTTTTAACTTTGTAATCGGGGCCGTGGTAAGATCCGTCGTTGCTGCAAGAGCTATCTTCCCAAGCCCAAAAGTCAATACCCTCGATCTCATTGCAGCCACAAAGAGGGTTACTGTAACAAGAGCAAATATTACAATTATTTAAAAAAAAACTATCGTTCCTTTGTTTTAGAAAAAAAAATTCCCATCAATCTTTAAGTATAATCAAAGACATTTAAGAAATATATAATCTAGATAGAACAACAATTTCTCACCGGTAACTTCTTTAAAAGGTACTTCGTTAGTTGTCAAATTTAGTGACACCACATATTATGTTATGAACATTATACAAAATTATAACAAACTCCATCTTTTGTTTTAAAATAAACTAAACAGTGGAACAAGATAAAACATGAATATTTAAATATGATTTAGTAATACCTGTTGGCAATTCATCTATACTATTATAATAAAGCGTAAACACACACTTCTTTGTTGCCTAAGATGTCAGCAATCACAGCATATTTTTGAATAATTCTTTTTTAATAAAAAGCCCTACACTTACGTCACACTTTAGGCTATACATTTTCACGCCATTAAACTTAGGGAATAAATGTTTTGGATAAAAATCCTAATGTGGGAAAGAGACCATAAATTGCTGCCAACATCAAGGAAGCAAGATTGCCAAGGTTTGTCACGTCATGTCATTTTGACATTTGGTATTGATAATTTTACAAATGTAAACAATAAAACAAAATTTCCATGATTTCATGCGGATGAAGCCGCACGGGAACAGCTAGTTTAAATATAATTATTAAATTAGCATGTGGTTTTGAGGATCATGTGAAATATTTTAGAGTGAAAAGTCAACTAAGTTTCCACTATATATTTTTTGAATATCTTTAAATATAATAAAAAAAGCAATTAATTCGTAAGAAAAAGAAAATAAGACTATAATTATTATAATAAATAATTGTTACCTAGGTGAGATTCTGAGGAAAGCCTGTCGCTGGATACGAGTGACGCTGTCGCCGACATCGCACAGCACCCGCGCTATACTTATCTTACGGATTTCTTGAAGTTGTGCTGATAAATACAAATAAATCTTTTTCTTAATAATTCTAATATTATAAATGCGAAAAGTTACTCTGGAAGAACACATAGGCTACTTATTTTAACTCCACGCGGGCTAAGTCGCGGGCAAAATCTAGTTAAATTACGAGTATATCGCAAAAATTTAGATGGAATAGTTCTATAGTTGACTAAACTGTTCAACGGATCTCGGTGATTTGTCATCTATGTAGAGCATAGCCTGGAAGAACACATAGGCTACTTACTTTTGTTTTTTTTTTAATTCCACTCATACAAAAATTAGTAAATATAAAACTTTATAGTTGCACTAAAGTACAAAATTTTGTGGAATTCTGCCTCCTGTGGTAGGACCCCTGTGTGAGAAGGATACTTTCTCTTGATTTAGGTGTATTTTGTTTGTTTTTTTATTGTTATTTTTTGTGCTAGAGTATTTGTGTGTAACCTTTTATGAGTTGAAAATCGATAGTTTTAATACTTACGTAATGTAAACGCATTAGGTCTGTTCGGTCTCTCGTACCAATGTCTATCAGAAGCCATAGACCGCAGCAGCTGTTCCACCACAACGCAGTAGAAGGTCGCAGGGACGTGTCCTCCTTCTACGAAGTTCTCCAGCCAAAGTCCCGCTTGAAAGTCTACATCTTCTAGATGTTCGTATACTTCTTGAAGCATTTCTACTCTCTGTACAGTAAATCTTACTAATTGAATAAATTCGAACGTTTAGATGGATGTTTGTTAGAGTTTGTAGCCTAAAATGCTGAATGGATCTTAATGAAATTTGGCATAGATATAGTAGTCTGGAAGAACACATAGGCTACTCACTTTAGTTTTTTTTAATTCGACACGGACGGATTCGCGAGTAAAAGTTAACTTATTACAATTTGTGTTTGTTTCTAGGTTAATAGGCTTAAATCTTCAGTTGTTATGTAAGTGTGCAGTCTTCTTTCTTTCCATTATTAGGGAATTATAACATTAAGGAAATAGGGTATACAAACTTCAGGGTCCATAACATGTAGTAAATCTTCAAATTTTTTGAACGATCTTCTTCTGCAAAGTTCTAAATATTTAACATACGGCTGCAGCCCGAAGTAGCGGTTCTTCGACAAATCATTAGTTAAAGTATCTGATGCTCTCTGATGAGGACCTAGAGCACTTTCACCTAACTGAAATAAATAACATAAAAATCCTTTTTCATAAGTTAAAGCAACTTTAAATAAGCTTTTAACTGTATCTTTAAACATGCTATACGTGATAAATGTATTGTTTTTATCGTCTTTTAAGAGAGCGCATTTTGACTAAAATATCGCACAACTGCTTAATCTCGCTTTAATTCCGAAGAGCTTATATGGAGGTAATACTACTCGATGTTTATTTGTGCAACTAAACAGTTGAATTTGCTGCAAAACAATCGCACAATGGTTGTGCGATAGTTTAGTCAAATGTGTGCGCCCACTTTTAATATAAATTAGTTAAGTGAAAAATCATATAAAAACGTTAGTGTTCAATGGTTGGGGACCGGACTAGTAATCTACAGAACCGAGTTAGATTCCCAAATGGATTGCATGTTTTTTAGGAAAAAGATTAGCAGATTTTTGTTAATTTAGTAATATTTCCTTTTACCATTCCAACTAAGCTTGACCTGCGCTAGGATATGGTTCACAACAGTCGTATGCCGGGATTCGAACCCTCGACCACAAAATCGTTAATCCGTAACCCAATTAGGTTATCGGGGCTTAAATTAAAATTGACGTTAGCTAAAAGAAAAAAATCACTTACTTCTGGATCAATCGCGTGATCGAATTTTCCAGAAGCCTGTCTAAAAGCGCCTTGCGTCATGTAATCTATGTTGTTATCGACCGCATAGTAACCTGTCCTTAGTGTCAGGTTGGCTATGGGTATCTGTTTTAAATAGTAACCTTGAGGGTCGTACATTCTGAAAGAATGTTATAACTTAAAAGAATTAATCTTTTTAAATACGTTACTTTTGCCCAGAGATTAAAAAATATAGAGTAGATATTGTTAACACTTTGCTTGAGACATTTCTTGTAAAATCATCACTAATGATATATTTTGACAGCATCGAAACCACATCATATTTCATGCTAACATTATAAATGCGATAGTTTAGATGGATGGATGTTTGTTAGAGTTTGTAGCCTAAAGGGCTGAATGGATTTCGATGAAATTTAGCATAGATGTAGAGGATAGTCTAAAAGAACACATAGGCTACTTGGCAATATTGTTTTTTTTTAATTCCACGCGAAAGGACTCGCGGGCGAAAGCTAGAGTTAATATAATTAATTGTATTAAAAGTAATTGTCAAAAGGTATCATTAGAAAATATAAAAAAAATATATTTTACTTTGCGACGCTTTAGTTTATTTTATACAAAAGATGGAACTTATTATAATTTTGTTAAATAGCAATACAAGGACACGACGTGGCCCTAAACTTAACAACTGATGTTACCTGTCAGAGATATTACCGGTGAAAAATTTTGTTCACTATGCCTAGTCTATATTTCATTTTTTTTTCATATATAAGATGATACTTGAATGGTTTTACAAGTTTTTAGTAGTACTTACTTCACAGTTCCAGATTGTATTGTATGCAACCAGCGCAGTACTGTCATGTACTCGATAGAAATTTGTGGAACTAAATTCTCATTGTATGAATCTCGATGTCCCGGATGAGGAGAAATAACACCCGCCTTTAATAAGTTTTCTTTACCTATTAGATGTTTTCATACATAAGTATTACTTATAATAGAACGTGATAATTATTGACCGACTTCTTAAAAGAAGGAGGTAGTCAATTCGTCTGTATGTTTTTTTTAGTTTTTTTATGTGTGTTACGGCATAACTCCGCCGCTAGTGGACCGATTTTGATAATTCTTTTTTTATCCGAAAGATATTGCCTGCAGGTGGGTTCCGTTTTGTTTGATTTTTTTGTAAACTAATTTTGTTATAATTAAATTAAAATCCTAAATCGATAAGTTTATTATAAAAGCTCTTGTAAAAATTCAATTGCGTGTTTTTCATACGTACCAATAAATGCGGGTAATAATTCATACAAGAATATCTGCATTTGTATAGCAATAACAATATCTCTCGTAGTATAGAACAGTCTGTCGTCGTCCCAGCAGGGGTTGATGCGCCCCAGAGCTGAGGCTATAAAATTATGTAGCCTCCAGAACCAAACAACTGACAGATTCACCCCAGCCACACTGTTAGCACCCTCTTCCGCTAGAAATTAATAATTTTTTTAATTATATCTAGACTAATATAATGAAGCGTAAATACACTACTTCGTGACGTAAGATGTCAGCAATCACAGCATATTTTTGAATATTTATCTCTATAATGAAAAGCTCTACACTTACGACACGCTTTAGACTAAATATTTCCCGCTATTAAACTTAGGGGGTATGTAATTGGTAAAAACCTTCATATGGGAAAGAGACCGTTAACAAAGAAACAAGGTTGTTATGGTAACGGTAATTGTTATCCAATGTCAAAGTTCTTCGTTGGCATTTGTGCATTTGAATTTTGACATTTGCAATTAAAAATGTAAAAAAGATTTTTTTTTTGTAATTCAAAACAGAAACAGCTCGTATAACATTTAATTTAAAATTCATAATATAAAATATTATAAATACTTACGTGTGTCATGGCATCTGGTTTCGTAAGGTTTTTGGTTCAATAAGCAGATGTTGACTGGCCCCTTCACACTCGGTGGCCATATTTTTCCATTCTCCACTTCGTACTTCAACAAGCCACCCTCAAATTTTCTCCCTTTCGTTAATAACTTTTGCATTGAATTCCCGTACAAGGCGGACACATCGAAAGTTGGTGTCGAACTTAATATCTTAAAGTTAAAAAAACATAAAAAAAAAATTAAAATAATTGGTAAAAAATTACTAGACAAAACAAATATCGTTGTAAACTGAGATATGGTGAAGACTTCGCCTGCGGAATTGATATTTTATGTTTATTTACGACTGAAAACAGGTTAGGTCAATGACCTAATAAAGTCCTGGCAACGGTTTTTTGGAATCAAAAAATGCTGTCATAAATTTTAATCGAACACAAATTAATAAAGTGACTAAAGAATTTAAAGTATGTGGTCAAGTCAGACCGAAACATAATAACGGTTTAACAAAACCGTTTTGAAATATATCTTAAAACATGTTTTTTGATACTTTTGGCTGAAAAAACTTTATATACATTTTCAACGCAATATACTGAATAATATATCAAGCTAACTTACTCTTTCCGGGTTCGTTTTATTGTTGACACAACCAACAGATTGAAAACTCTCAGGTCTCGTCATGTTTAGACATCTGATGTTAGAGAAGCGATGGACGGGGTCATTGTCGGGTATTTTGTTAGGCACGCAAGCGTAATCCGTTTTACCTTTTTCACTACAACAATGAGGTGTCCACAAAACGTACTTTACTGAAATATTAAATTTTAAAGCAATTAATATTTGTATTTTTAAAGGTTGTTGACTTATTAGCTTCGTCCACTATTAATTAAAAAATAACAAAAGTAAGTAGCCTATGTGTTCTTTCAGACTATCCTCTACATTTGTGTCAAATTTCATCGAGATCCGTTCAGCGGTTTAGGCTACAAACACTAAGCTACATCCATCCATCCATTCATCTAAACTTTCGCATTTAGAACATTAGTAAGATTTAAATAAAGAGTGTTTAAACAGCATATAAGATTTAGAAAATGACGTTCTAAACACTTACTAATCAAATAGTAAATCATAAAGAATAATAACCACTTACCTGTATCGTGGAAAGACAAAACATCTCCGTTCAACAGCAATAGAAAATGCGCTGTCAATTGAGTAAATTTTTGATCAGGTACATATCCTTCCAGTAAAAGTCTCTTCCTTAAATATCTCGCAAGCGGTAAGTTAGTCCCAGATTTGGACAATCTGGGATTATAATCTAAAAGAAAATATTTACTAAAAAAACCGTCGGAAGCTCCTATGAAATGTTCAGCTGCAATTCAGGAAGCAAAAAAATGGACAATGAGAAAGGTTGAGGACATAATTACCTTTATCAAAAACTGGGGGCAGTAATCTAACTGGTGGCGTGTGACTCATTCCCCTGGTGGGGTAACGTAAATTATTACAGGAACCATCAGGTCTTCTGCCTTCGTAAGGGTTGCAAGAGAAAAATTGACTCGTACACCAACTAAAAACAAATGCATAAAGGCTTAATTTTTAAAATATATAACGGGAACTTCATTTAATTAAACTGCAAAATGATTTAGTTAATGTACTTTGCTATTAAAAATCTTTGATAATTCCTCATAACAATCGTTAATTCTTAAATATGAATATGTAGGAGACGTCAATACGGAGATTCAACATATTGGAAGTCAATATGATTGTATTTTCCTATTAATTATGTCAGTACTTACAATGTAGTATTTCTCTTGTCATGACGTTTAAGTTCCTCCTGTGATATCGGTGTTCCTGTATAGGAATCGTAAACTAGAAATGTTGAATTAACACACACAAACAGCAAAGCCAGAGCTAGTAAATACATTTTATCAAAGGAACGCATTGGAGATGCATTCATGTAAAGAGTGTGGACACTAAAAGAACTCGAACATGAATGTCGTTGGTTTTGCAAATATAAAGGGTAATCTCGAGACTGTAAACAGGTTTGTATTTAATTAAAAAATCGACCAGAAAATACAGCTTTAAGATATGCGAAACGAGAGAGGTGATAATAAATAGATATATGTCAAAGGATTCCGTACTTAATTAGAAAACAAAAAGACATTGCTTTTCATTACGCAGTGTATGTGTGCCCGTGACTGCAATTTTCTGTCTAATAAACTTGAACGAAATTATTAAAATTGTATGTTAAAACGGAATGGTTTAATTTTGGATCTTATTTTATTACTTCTTTAGATTTCAAATTGTCTTTTGCAGATTTTTTATCTTTATATTGATATCCAAAAAAGCATAATCTATCGAATAAAAATATCACTTGAATGTCGCCATTAGCTTCTTGGATAAAATGATTTTACAAAGAACCTTAATAACAAACATAAACAAATATTCCATAGAATTGTTAATAAAACATCTACATATCAAATTTCAACATCGAAATACAGATCTTTTTTTAATTGACACCCTAATCAACGACACTAAATAAATTTACATAATATTTATGCTGTTTCCTAACGGTATTTTTCAAAAACCGTTTGACGACAAAACATTGCGAATAACTCACAATACTGGAAATATTCGTATATGTAATTCTATAGTCGAGTAAAACATTAAATAGGTCACAAAATGCAAATAATAAGCAATTATTTTTAATGGTTCTTTATTAAAAAAACTTATGTTCTTTCGCTTACATTTAAACCTGGTTATATCGTTTTTGCTTTTATTTCAAAAACTCTGTTTGAAATAGATATGCTGGGTCATATAATCTGTCAAATACCGGCTCCGTGGTTCCGCAAGTTTGGTCCTTCCATGCCCAGAGATTAACAAAGTCAATTTCTTTGCAACTGCACATCGGATTACTGGAAATTAATAAAAATATTGTCACCTTTTGTAATATTTTGTCTGTTTACATTGCTTAATAACTATAGTGAATAGTTTTAATACGTACTTGCGACTAATCCTGTAGAAAGCGCGTTTTTGTATCTCCGTCACTTTGTCTCCGACGTCACAAAGCAACCGCGCTGCTGACGCCTTTCTTATCTCCAACAGTTGTTCTGAATGTAATTTTATTACCTTCATACATGCATTACTTCTTATCTTAGAACTAGAGATTAATTGACCGTTTCCATTTAACCATTCGTTAGTGATTTTGGTTCGATAAATTCATGAAATGCGTTTCTGTACTACTTAACTTGAGTTTTATTCCGTTGATACATTCAATCTAACGCTAATAACATTTAACAATGTTAAGGCCGCTTTAACATCTTCGCACGGTAGGGCCGGTTTGCCCCCAGGTATTCCATGACCACATAGAAAACAGACGTGAAGTGGAGGCAATTCCGCGTACAGTCTGACGAGTGTGGTGCCGGAGGCCTAATTTAAGTTCCTTTCCCTTTCCACCCTTTTCTTAAGAGGAAAGGATGGAAAGGAAAAATGGATTTGACGGTGGAGGAGACGCATAGCAAGGGAAAATATCTTCTTTATGTGTGTCTTTTCCGTCAATGAAGTGTAGGCAACGCATCTGCAATTGCGGATGTTTATGGGCAACGGTCCATTTCCATTTCGGTGGATTCAGGTGGCCGCTTGCTCGTTTGCCATCTTTTATTATAAGCAGAAAAAACCGCTATGTAATGACAAATTAAGTGGAAACTTCAACAACCGTAGCAAGTGAAAATCTTACCATATGTAAAAGCATTTGGTCTATTCGGTCTTTCATACCAATGTCGGTCTGACCTCATGACTCTTAGAAGCTGTTCGACTAAAATACAGTATAGAGTGGGCGGCACACGGCCACCCGAGAGTGGCCGCTCTAACCAGATACCAGCTAGAAGGTCTATGTCTTCTATATTTTCGTATACATCTCTTAGTAACTCTACTCGCTGAAAACACAGAAGGATGTAGATATCTTGTTCTTATTATTGTGAATCTATACAAATATTATAAAGAGATTTTTTTTATGGATTGGAATAACTCAAAAACTAGTCCGATTTCAATTGCTTACACCATTAAAAATCTACGTTATCAGTGAGACGGGCTATTATTTTTAGTTTTAACGTGGACGAAGTCGCGAGCAAAATTTAGTCTATACTAATATTATAAAGAACAAAAATTTGTATTTTTGTATATTTTGAAATAATTCTTTCACCGTTAGGAAGGTAATTTATCTGTGAGAAATATTTCTAATTTAAGGCGGACTAAGTCGCGAGCAACAGCTAGTAGTTCAAGATCTTAATAGTGAGAAAAATGTTTACTTCTGGATCAATAGTTTGTTTTAGATCGTCGAAAGTTTTGAAAGACTGCTTAAAACAGTATTCCCTATATTTGATGTAAGGCTGCAACCCGAATAATCGGTTCTTTGCCAAATCGCTTGTCAGTAAATCCGCAGATCGCTGATGATTACCTAAACCAATGTTTACAATCTGAAACAAAATCATTTTCATAATCATTTGAACAAATACTTAAATAGGAGTATATCTTCTATAGTAATATTATAAAGAGGAAAAATTTGTATTTTTGTCTGAATTGAAATAACTCAAAAACTACTAGGTCGATGTCAAAAAATATTTCACTATTAGAAAGCTGCGTTTTCAATGAGCAACATAGGCGACGTTTTTATTACTTTTTAATTTCACGCGAAGTCGCTAGCAACAACTAGTTTAAAAATATTTTAAAGATGAAATCAGGATGAAATCGTACATCAGGATCCACGACATAATCGAATTTAGCACTGCCCTGTCTAAAGTTTCCTTGCGTCACGAAATCCATGTTATCTTCTACGCCGAAGAATCCAGTTCTAATAGTGAAGTTAACTATCGGAACTTTTCTTAAATAATGACCTTCAGTATCGAATAACCTGAAAAAAATATATTTAGAAAGCCAATTATTTAAGAATACTAGAATTTTGAAGTTCAGAAGTAATCAGAACTGTACCTAAATCCCTATATCTTCTACAAAAAATGTAAAAACATGAATCATTTAAAATGTTGTAACATCACAACTTTAAAGTAATATTACAAATACGAAAGTTTAGATAGATGGATGTTTGTTAGAGTTTGTAGTCTAAACGGCAGATAGTCTGGAAGAACACATAGACTACTCACTTTTGTTTTTTTTTAATTCCACGCGGCCGGAGTTGCGGGCGAAATCTATTATGAAATAATAGATAATACTTACTTCATATCCCCTTCCTGCGTAGTGTGGAACCATCGCAAAACAAACGGAAACTCCAGTGATATTTGAGGTACAAGTTTATTATCGTAGAAGTCCCTAAACCCTGACGTGCTGGATATAACTCCATCTCTAAGCATATTTTCATATCCTATTTACAAAATTGGAAAATATATACAAAACATATACTAAAATGAGATAATCTTTAATGAAATTTACTAACCAAATAATGCTGGCAATAATTCATAGTAGAATATTTGCATAACTATAGCAATGTTAATATCTCGAGCTGTATAAAATAGTTTGTGGTCATCCCAACATGGGTTGATTTTAGACAGAGCTGTAGCGATCAAATTATGTTGTCTCCACAACCAGATCGTCACCAAGTTGATCCCAGCTAAGCTGTTAGCTCCCTTTTCAGCTAAAAATACATCAGTTGAAATCTAAATGAAAAAATTAAACAGAAACGTATCTCACCTGCAACTATCTCTCGGATAAAAAGGAGATTACAGAAACACACATAAGAAAATAATACCTACAGACGAATTGAGTACCTCCCGCTTCTGGTGAGTTCCTCAATAAAATGCTAGAATCTAGTTTTTTAAAGTAAAGAGTCTTCAAATTGACTTACGAATATCATGACATCGTTTTTCTTCTGGCAATTGATTTGACAAACAAACATCCAATCCAGTTTTAATAGTCGGAGGCCAGACTCGGCCGTTATCTACTTCGTATTTCAACAGACCTTTTTGATACAATCGACCTTTTTCTAACAAAGGTTTCCTACTGTTACCGTAAACTGTTGACAGATCAAACGACGGTGTACCAGTTAATATCTGTAATATGAATTAGATTATTAAGTGCGTGCGCACTTTGACTGAACTATCGCACAACTGTTTAGTCGCGCTTTGATTCCTATGAGCTTATATGGAGGTGCACTACTCGATTTTCAGTTGTACAACTAAACAGTTGAATTGGTTACAAAACAAGCGACAATCGCACAACTGTTTTGCGATTGTTTAGTCAAAAGTGTTGTTCCATTATTTTTTTATCGAAGGTCCTTTGTTTTTAGTTCACATGTTGTTGTTTTATCATAGAAAATGTAAGAAGTGGATGGATATTTGAAAATACACTGTTTTTTTTTTCAAGTATGTCAATAGAATTCACCGGAATTTTTTTATTGACATAACTCACCCGTTCAGGAACAGTATCATTTTTAGTACAACCGATCGATTGGAAACTTTCAGGTCTCGTCATATTCAGACATCTGATGTCAGAAAACCTATGAACAGGATCATCGTCGGGTATCATATTCGGTACACATGCTCTGTCAGTTTTTCCTTTTGGAAGACAACAGTAAGGTTTCCATGCGATATATTTAACTGAAATCAAATGTTACCCATAAAACTAAGGGTAATCTCACTTCTTACTAATATTATAAATACGAAAGTGTTTGTTAGAATTTGTAACCTGAACGGCTGATTAGATCTAATGAAATTTGGCATAAATATGAAGAATAGTCTGGGAGAGCACATAGGATACTTTTGATTTTTTTTTAAATTCCACGCGGACGGAGTCGCGGTCGAAAACTAATAAATGAAAAAAAATAATTTAATATTGGTTGTTCCGAACCATATGTGTACTAAATTTACCTGTATCATGTAAAGATAGGACATCTGACGTCATAAATACAAGAAAATTCGTGGAAAGCGTCGTAAATGTTTGATCGGTTAATTTGCCCATAGGAACTAAAGTCGTCCGTAGGAATCTCTCCAAAGGCAAGGAGCGCCCGGACTTCGCTTCTCTTTTGTCGAAATCTGAAAAAACAAATTGATAAATATTCTAGTCTTATCAAAAACTTTAAAGGGTGGTTAATCTTACTTTTAGCATATACAGGCGGAAGTATTCTATATGTAGGAGTGTGGGTTGCGCCTCTAGCGGGTTCGCGTAGGTTGTTACAGGAACCATCCACACGCCTCCATTCCTCAGCCACGCATGGCTCGATTTCGTTTATACACCAACTAAAAATATAAACAACTAATTAAAGCAAAGCACCAACAAATCTATACTAATATAATAAAGCGTAAACACGCACTACTTTGTGGCAAAAGATGTCAGCAATCACAGTGTGCTTTTTAATATTTTTTTCTTTGATAACTACACTTACGATACGCTTTAGGCTATATATTTTTATGTTATTAAATTAAGGGGGTAAATGAATTGGAAAAAATTCTTATGTGGGAAAGGTACCATAAACTACAAGCAGCCATCATCAAGGAAGCAAAGTTGGCAAGGTGCAACTGAACATTTCACAAATGTTAAAAATAAAATGAGTATTTTATAATAAAATAAGTATTTTAAAATTTTATGAAGCCGCACAGGAAGAGGTAGTATCTCCGATAAAACCATAAACTAAGCAAATTAGACATCTGTTTTGTTACCTTAGATTTCGAATCTGAGTTAAAACATGTTAATACAAATAAAACGCGCTAGGACACTTTTGCGCGAACACAATAGTTTTAAGAAAAACTGAATAAAAAAGTATCTAAAATCAGAAATGTAAATTTAAAAATGGTAATTTCATCCACTCAAATATAGAGGTCAACTAACAAAGTAAGGTTAACATATGGTTTTAAAAAAATTACAAATGATGACGATTAGATGAATGACGTATGAAAGACGGGAAATATGAGGAGCATCTGTAAATGGTAATGTATGGATATAATTAAAATATGGTATAATATTAACTAAAGAAAACATGTTTTAACAATATAAGGTGACAAGCGGCCACTGCATTTCACTAAAATATGGAAGCGACTATTGCCTACATGCATATCCACCTGCGTTGCCTACTTTGATCGACAAAAAAGGGACATACAGAAAGGAGATAATTCCCCTACCCACGTGTCCTATCCACCGTCAAATCCACTTCTGTTTTCCATCCCTTCTTTAGGAAAAAAATGTAATTGGAAAGAGGAATAAAATTATTATACAAATAATTTATTAACTTACAATGTAGTGTTCTTCTTATCATGTTTTTTGACTTCGTCTACACTAACAGGTGTTCCAGTATACGAGTCATAATACAAAGAAAGTCCATTAACATATCCACTAATTATAAGTAAACAAACAAAATGCAACATTTTTTTGAAGTTGTAATTATTTTAAGAAGTCATTAGTAATTCACGCTTCGAATAGAACCTTCTCGTTGTTCACTTATGTATTTCTAAGTCAAAATGCGACTAACACGTGAAACTCAGAATATTTATATATTCTTATGAGTTTTGTTTTTATAAAAGGTTATATAATATGCAAAATCGCAAATACTAACGTATTTCAAGTAGATATTTTTTATAGACACGACTTTTATTAATTTAAAAGAAATAAGAATTAAAATTTGTTTAATTTTAGTTAAAAGCTGTAACCAGCAACGATAATTTGTAAATTACTAGGTATTCACAAAACGGTGCGATCGCGCCGATGACGTCACACACGCGTGGCGCGTCGCCCCTGCTCCTCCGCCTTTTCCCCCTTCTTCACCCGCCGTGCCCGTGTCGCCTCGCGTCTGACCGGGACCAGGACGCCAATATTATGGCGCGAAAAATTGTAACTATACGCCTGATTATGTTTTCTATTGCGTTAGTTAAATTAAAAAATCCAAAATCTATTTGAATGTAATTTGTTACCTTCTTGTGATATAATTCGTATGGTGCTGCTCTTGTAAGATGGTACTGTTTGATAAATATCATTGCTTTTTAAATCCAAACCTTTTGGACCACGTATAAATGTAAACTTCTACTAGTTTCATAAAATCTTAATTTGCCAATAATCACACACACTATTTATAATAATTGGTAAACTACATCGTTAAAATAAAATGTTATTACTTTGCTTGTGCTTGCTTCACATCTCATTCGCGCCTAAAAACTTTGCTGTTCTTTACTTCAAATTTTGGCTTTCTTGACTGCCAGTACCATATTAAATATTCATCCAGAATATTTTTGCAACTTGAAAAATTACAGTTTTACAAATATATTCCTTATAAAACATTACAATATTTATTCTAAATATGCTTTATTTTTAAATGAATGTAAATATATTTACAACTGTTGGCAGCGCCATCTGTTATCAAAATTGCTTAACATTCAATTAGTATGTGGAAATATAGGCGGTTACTTAATAATTTCTTACTTAATAATAAAACAAAATAAGTACTTATACAAATATGCGTACTTTACTAACTTTAATAGTTTATGTCCCAATTTGATTAATCGATACAAACACTTTAATATGACTGTAACAATTTGTCCAAAATGAATCAAGTGGTGACAGCTTTGAAACAGTTCGAAGCGACAATAAATTAATTGTAACAGTCCGATGGGAATTGACTCTATGACCTGGACCTTAATACATGCATTAGACAACAAAAATAATAATAGTATATGCTGATTGTCGTTTTTAACTCGATTCAAATTAAAAGTCAAAAAACTTGTAACTAAATCTCTTTCACGATTGCTAAAAGGTAATACAAAAAACTCTTTTTAAGAAATAATTTAACCTTGGTTTTGCAATTTAGAGTAAATATTATTAGTAAATATTATGTAAGCTTATTTATTTTTTACTGTTTAAGATTGATGTATCCGAACAGCTCTGATCGTTTTATAGGTATTTTACTTGATTATTATTGCTAGGTTTCTGAAGTTATCATTTGTTTTATCATTACCTAGTGATATCTATGTTTTAACGTAAAACACGAGTTAAGTAGTTCGGAAACTTATTTCATTAAATTTTCGAACCACAAACACTAATTAACGGTTAAACGTAACTGGGAGACCGGCCATAAATAACGCTTTTCTTTGAAAATGATAATATCAAAACGTATGTAAGGATTCACTATTTTGAAATTTAAAATCGAATAACAACAACTCAGTAGAAATAAAACTCGACGTAAATAAAAAGGCTTGTAAAACGAAACGTGACAGCTAGCGTAAGAACTGAGGTTGTGCTTTTGACAGGCGTCCCGGACAGAGCTTGCTGGGAGTCGCTGATAAAGCGCACCGAGCAGAACTTATATTTTTTCATTCCTTACAACATTGTTACGACAGATTTTCACTGTCGTAACAATTTACAAACAGTTACATACTCACCTTTACCATAACCGCATTTTTTTTAAAATAGGATATTTTAAATGTTCGTTTTAAGGAAAAAAAAAGACTTGCGAAAGTAAGGAATCACGAAATCTTTTGTTTCATTTCTATGTACTCATTTGCATGTTATTAACATAGCAACGTCTTCTATACGTAACAAAATATTAAATTATTAGTTACTTACCAATAAAGGTACAAGGCAAAATGCTTTTTAAAGCTAACTGAAGAACCAAAAGGTCAAAATAATAATTACCATAATATTCTGAGTCATAGTTTCGAAAATTAACTGCTTTCGCGTAAGAAATCATTTATAAAACAAAAATTTCAAACAAATCCGTCGTCGACGCGTGCCATCATTAGAAACAGATGCCTGGTGTACCAATGGGGTTAACAGACAAGCCGCGAATCTGTTACCAACAGTGCGCATCTAATAAGTACACTTGTCGCTATTTTAGAAAACTCTAACCTCTGACTAAACTATCGCAAAACTTTTAAGTCTGCTTTGATTCCCATCAGCTTATATAAAGGTGAGCACACTAGTTTAGTTGTGCAACAAACAATTGGTTGCGAAACAATCGAAAATCGCACAACAGTTGTGGTATAGTTTAATCAATCTTAATCCAAGTCCAGTCCAATTTTTAGTCGTCTACCTCCTACAACCTATAAACAGTAAGTACACTAACGTTCAAAAGTCGTGTTTATCTTTTACTGTCGTGTGACCATGAATTGTGACTCCATTAATGCTGAATAGTACCATCGGGGAGGCAACGTAGACCACTCCTTGTTAAATATGACCACACTGCTACGGACACTCAATTAATCTCTGCATATGCTAGATACGCTAATTATATACACGGTTCGCATCTACTTGAACAAAGACCGAACGCTTAACGTTAACTGGCACGTAATGAGACAGCCCGTTTTATAATCATTTCGCACACAATTGTAGACTCTATCGCACTATGATATGAATCAGAATAGGATATACTGAACGGTTACAATGTCAGTAACGAAAACTACTAAGTGATTGATTAGTATGACCGTTAAAGTATAAGTTATAAGCGGGAAGCGATTATTTAAAATCTCGCAGATTAAAAACACCTCGTAAATTAGTGGCAGCTTAACTGTGACGTCATGAATTCTTAGTTCAAATACTAGTTTAGGGAAAGCATAAAAAATGTTTTTATTCATCATATTAAAACGCTTGGAAACAGTTGTAGAATTACTTAGAAGTGGTTTCAAAAGCAACTCCTTTTGTTGCCTTAAAGGTATTGTAGGACTAGAAAGATGCTGTTACATAAGCTTGTGACTTATACCGCGGTATAGTGAAGGGTGTATTTAATGAGGTACACGTGTTGGGGCAATGCCGGCTAGACTCACACGTCAGTTGCACGGCCGATTGCAATTCACGCATGAAGCACTGCGCCGATCACAGCAATGTAACTAGAAGTTACGGAAATGTAGCTGTTAAATGTCTGTTACAGATTCTAAAATTCAAATCATCTGTACTGATATTATGAAGAGGAAAGATTTGTATGTTTGTATTAGACATACAAACACGTGCCATGTAGTACTCAAGAGCATTGAATCCGGGTCACTTAAAAAACCTGATGCTAGAATTAATGTAAGATTGACTCTAACGAAAGAAAAAAAGCAGTTAGTTTAAAAATGTATTATTTATTTCAATCACAAATATTAATATTTATTTCGGTAAGATATTTTTTTGGGCAATTTTTTCCACTTCAAGACACATTTAAACGTATAATTTCCATACTTAATTAGCAACCAATGTAAAAGTGATTGACGCGCTTTTAACTTATAACAAAAAATATTAGACATACATTTTAATCGGACAAATAAGAAAAAAAGAAAGAATCGCAAATAAATAACAAATATTTTCTTTTGACCCAACTACTTGAGGTCTGTAAAGATACTTACGAATTCATATAGACCTCATCATAAAGGGATGGTACTAGAAACTTCTTGAATATTGTCTTCCATAATACCCTACTTTATGTTGAATTGCAGAGAAATATTGTTCTCCTAAGACGCAATATCATGTAAATATGAAACAAGAGAGGCGTCTTTATGATATAAAAATTTACTGCATAGAGCATAAGATCTTCTATTAAATTTATTTGATACTAGCTTTTGCCCCCGACTTCGCGGAGTATTAAAAACATGCGAAACTATGAAAAACAAAAGCTACGTATCCCTCAGGTACAAGATATTCGGGGAAGAACCTATCCCACGTGTTACTACAAAAGTAGACTATGTATTCTTCCACACTATTTTCTACATCCATGCCAAAATTTTATCGAGATTAACTCTAACAAACATCCATCCATCCAAACTTTCGTATTTTTTATATTAGAAGTATATTAGTAAGAAATAAAGTTATATTTTTTCCTTTACCTTATAATATTATAACACAAATTCTAAATTCATTCTAAATAATAATTTTTATTGAATAAATTGTAACTAGTAATATTTAACAAGAAAAGAATTTATTTTTAAAATGTGTCTTCATTTTGAAATACAGAAATATTTTTTTGTTACAAATTATGAGCTCAAAAAAAATATTTTATTTTAAAAATTCAAGGATCATTTAAATGTTAAAATGGTAATAAAGAATTTCAATGCATTATTCAAATTCTTTTTTGCTTCAATGTGTTTTTGTTAATTTTACTTGAAAAAATAAATAAATATTCATTCATTTCAAACATTGAAGTTTCGACGTTTACTAGCCGTTACCATATGCGGGACCTACCCAATATTGGTTTTATAGTATTAGGTTTGAAGGTATACTAGGAAAAAAATTTAAATATACATTCGAACACATCGATGTTGTTAAATTACCTAGTTAAACATATGAAAAGAATAAACATGTAAGTTAATAAAAATAATTATTCTGCCTATTATATAATGTGTCTCTTCCATGATCACTATCGGTCACATTTAAATTCACTCCCGTCTTATCCATATTTTCTTTCACACAATCTATTCATACTTTTTTGAGTTCTCTAGTAATAATAATATAATAATAGCTGTTGCAAACTCTTGTTATTATGAAA